AGCGCCGGCCCGGCCTGAAACCCTGACAGGAATGATTTTAGGAAAGAGAACATGATGCTGTGTCTCTCCTTAGACATTACATATAGCTGACATGGATTAGGCTTCTGGGTTCTCTGGTTTCTCAAATCATCCCATTTTTGTGTGTTGTCACAAAGAATTCGTGTGATTGTGGTACAGGAGAGAGGACAGCCTCTTTGGGGAGACATGAGGGAAAAAAAAGATCCTATAAATACGGAAGGTGTACACCAGAGTAAAGATTCATATTCGCCTCACTAGATGTCCCAGCCATGCCCTAGCGCTGAGGATTACCACTGCAGTTCTCCAAATATTCTGAAGTTCTTCCTATTCCAGATCTTTATTATCAGTTTTACTTTGCACAACAAAATCATGTTAAGTATGCATTAATAACAGAGGATACTTACACCACACACTCTCTCCCAGTGTTCAGGAGTATAGACATCATACATCCCTACGGTCCTCCAAAAGCAGCAGCAAGATCACACTACCTACCACAAAGGAGCCATCTCACAGCAGCTTTGCTGGTAAAGGCTGCCAACGTGACTGGAATCCTAGGCATACTTATTAGGAGTCTCAGAGGAGAAACCAAAAGCTAAGTGGACTGTGCATACTGGCCTGCAAGGTACTCTGAGGCACTTTGCTGGGACAGCAGAAAGGAGAAAAAACAGCAAGAAATCTGCCTTGTTCTAGGCAATGAATGGAGATGCCCTATGAGCTGCCAGCTGAAATTATTTTGGAAACACTAACACTGCAATGTACTTTCTTCTAAAGTCACAAGGGTTTCCTTATTGACAACACTTGAAATGTTTTATTGACTTACCAGAGTCTTTGTGTTTTATAGCTACCTGTGAGGAAAAAAGTTTATGCAGCTGACGATACTCAGTCACAGCCTTGCCATTTTCATTCCCCTAGTGACCAGATGGACCAAGCAATCCACATTTCTAGGCTCTGCAGGATTCTGTTGTTGCAATGATACCTGTTGTTCATAACGCCTGCTCACGTCGCCGTTTCAGACCCACAACTCTTGCTGCCACGAGAAACACAGCCCCGGTGAGCACTTCTGCGACAAAAGAGATCCAGACTAGTGCCAGTGACCAGCCAAATCTGATGTCGATTTCTACCAGGAGATCCTTACTCCTCAGGAGGCAGACAGCTTCTTCGAAGGCAGCAGCTGAATATGCAATATAGACACTGATCCCAGTAAGTGTAACAAGAGCTGAGAAAGGAAAACATATTCAGCTAGTTAGCATCCACTGCGGAAATTAAAAATAATTAATTGGATATCTCTTAGGGCTTCTTTGCCACTCCTTCCTATCTACCCAGGACAGATTACCAGTTAGCCTCTGTTTACCTCTGAAATCTAGTTGAGGCTGTTTTTTGGGGAAGGGTGAGAGGGAAGTAAAGGTAGGGTTATTTCTGTCCTTTGAGATTCATGTGTTCTCACTGTTAAATACTGAATCAAAATATGTAACAGCAAGCCTCTCACAGTAAAAATCTAGCCGTGTCTTTTACAGATATCTAATGCACGTACATCTCTGTTTTCAATAGTGTATTATAACACATCCTGATTTCTCATTGCTGTGCACCGCATACAGTTGTCTACCTCTATGCAAGAAAGCCTCTTGCATTTCAGGTCAGTGACCTGAATTTAGGCCGCTTTCTAATTTTGAGTATCGTATGTTTTCAGTGTTCAATGTAAATATGTTGGTCTTTACTGTCACCTCCCACCAAGTGTTGTGAAGTCATGACTATTCATCACTTCCAAATAAATGAGCCAAAGACATCCATGGACCAGACTAAAAATAAAATAACAAAAGCACTCAAACAAGAAGCCAGATGTTTTCAGAATGAAAGGACTCTACAGAAGCTAGCAAACTTAGGGAATGGCACATCTAGCACAAGCACATGCTACATCCTGGGCCTGGCATCTATGTCACTCAAAGGACATATACTAACTAAAGTCGTAACTTTACTGGATCAGTGGTAGGAAAGATGCAACAGAAAGGCCCTGGATTAAAGGACTGTAGCTCAGGGAAAGTAGATACTGGAACACTTGTGGGACAAGATAGTGTCTTATCTGATTCTGACGGAGAAAAATTTTGGTCTTTCTGTTAAATCACAGTGTAAGTCTACATGAGTCTGCATTTTTGCCAGAAAGACAACTCTGAGTAGAGGCAAACCAAGGCAGAAAAGTATTGGGTTATCCAACAGTCAAAATTCATACTCATATTCCTGATTACTGATTAGTAGAATTATCAATATTCCTGATACTCATATTCCATGCTATGATGCCTCTACCTTATTCTAGTTCTCTGCAAGGGGGGGAAATCACTTTATACCTTTTGTCAGCAGAAACGGAAATGACTCTTTTGTTCAACATTTTCAACAAGGTATGCCTTAAATGTGCCTACCTTTCAAAAAAATGGGGAAGCATACAGGATGTCCTGGGATGTGCAACATATCAGTTCTGCTATTTTCCAAAAACCTCAGGTTTCTGGAATTGCATCATAAAATATTTCTTTCTGCTGAGAAAGAACTATCTAACCAATACCAAACGTTGTAAACTGGAATATCCTATAAAATTGTGCATTCCTGTTACATGCATCGAGCCTCAGCGCAGCTGAAACAGCTGAACAATACTGCCTGAGCGGGAGGAGGGTCTGATCTCATACCAAAGGCCACCCTGCAGTCTATTCACACTGTCTTGGGAAATAGCACTAGTTGCATCTTCAGAACATATTCAAGCACGTCTCTTCTAATACTGTCTTTGTGTTTCCTTTCCGTCTTTGCAACCCCAAGTGTTTTAGAAAGGCACAGTACTCCACTCCTCAGCAGGATAATCATGCTTTGCACTTCACAGCTTTTCATCTTTCACTTACTATTTGGAGTAGTTTTCAAATAGCCTAAGCCTTTTTAGTGAATACAGCTTTCTGATGTTCTAAGGAAATAGAACTTACTTTTTTTTTCAGGAAAAAAGCATAATGGGGCATGGTTGGTCTTTGTAAGAGTATTTCAGACTAAAAAGGTCGGTCAAGACTTTGAGACAGAAGCATTTGCTTCCAGCAATCTCTTAGAAAGACAATTCTAAGTTTCTTCCTCTCTTCCTGTCTTCTTAGAAACAGGACTGTATGAACAAATGATGAGGGCCAATACTGAGGATCCCCTTTTCTGTTGGGGCAAATTTCTGTTTCAAGCTTCGAATTGAAATGTTCCACTCCAACTAAAATAACTCTTTAGGGTTTCCTTTTGTGGCCCACAGTTTGGGGACACCACCCTAGTTCAAAACTAGCAGTGAATGCCTAGCAAGACCCTTTTCAGGAACTCAATGATGCCTTTGAAAAAATGTCAGTTTCCTGAATAGTTGTAAAATCTGTGCAAGGCTATCGAACCCTATGCTTTATTAATCCCACAGTCACTTCTCCATTACTTCATTACCCTGTCTGTAAAGAATTTGGACACTGTGCTGCAAAGGTATTAAATCTTTTGTGTTAGCGGGCACTGCAAACATATTGTGTTCAAAGTGTGACTCACTCCACAAGGATGTATGGTTGTGTGTGATTATTTGCCTTTCCCACTCTAAGTGGCAGCTTTCTATTCCAGAATCCCATCAGGAGCTAAGCAGACACCAAGTGAATGAACATCAGCACTATTCTGAAAGCAAACTCTCGCTTTTTTCCCCTGGAAGACAAAGTGATGCTGCCCAGATATAATCTCTTATTATTTAATACAGTTAAGCCGAGAGTTTGATATATTACCTCCAAAAAGAAAAAGCAGTCCTGTCATTAGAAGCAGTAGGTAGGCCCTGGCAAGGATACTGATGAATCCAGTCATTCCTCCAAAAATCATCAATATCAGGCTGAGGGGCATCAGGATGACAAATGTTCCGTGCATGTCTGAAGAAAAATGCAGAATGTTAACATTTTAATATTTTATTATGGTGTCATTGGCTGTACTAATACTTATTGAGTGCAAAGCCACTAATACTTACTGAGTGCAGAGCCCCTGATCAGGATCAAAGCCTTATTCTGTGCTGCACAAACAAGAAGTTGGACAATCTCTTGGGTTTTCATTTGAAGTCAGCAGGAGAAATATATGGTATGGAGAAAAAGGTAATGTACAGAGCAAATCCTTCACAGGATCACAGCCAGTGTTTCAAACAGAGACCACAAATATAAAGGATACACCTACATGGACATACATTTAAGCAATTAAACTGTTCTCAGATATGAAGCCTAGCTGGATAACAGGTGATGCATTGCATATCAGGTAGTCACTGACAACCTTAATAAAAAGTAGCCCTGGTTATCTGAATCATACAGATCACAGTGAGTGGCATTGTTATGTTTGGGTGGTGAGATCCAGCAGATGCTTTGGTTAAATGCTTTCTTTTCTGTCACATGTCCTCTGCTGAACTGATCTAGCAAATTGTTGACCTTTTCCTTTGTTGCAGCTGACCATCAACTAGAGGTAAATTTTCCCATCCAGCTCTGATTCTGTGTCTGTCATTGCTTTCTACAGCAGCTTCACTAAGTACATTAACCTACCCTGGTTCCTTTCTTCCACGCTAAATGTTTTACATTAGTCTTTCTTGATCCCTGTAACATTTTAATAGCTGTGTAAACAGAGGGTTGCTACATATTTTTTCATTTCACACTTTTTTCATCATAAACCATCTTTGTGTCATTGTTCCCTCTCATGCCTTCTATCCACAACTTTCAACCCAACCTTTTCTAGAATAATGACCAAAAAAAAGTAATTCCACCTTCCAGTATCAATTTATTTCATACCAGAGTGAAGTGCAGAGTTACTGAGAAAGGAAAACTTAAAATCTATTTTCTGAAAGGCTCTAGGCTTCAGTGTCTCATTTAATTTCATAGAGAAACAACAATACACCATTAGCTGGTTCCTAAGGAAAAAGAATCAGTTAAGAGATCACAGTTTGTGTGTGATCAGATGATCAATTTTTTTAAGTCACTGTAACTGCCACTGGCTAAGGATTCAGCTTATCCTCTTCAATATCATGATAAAGATAAGTCACAATCGTGTACATATCTGTTCAGTTCTAGAACCTTGAAAGGTTAAGAAGAACCTGCATGGGATCAAGGCCGACACTGTTAATTTCTTTACTTGACTGGAATGCAGTTTCAAGACACAATTATTTGTTTTGTGTAGTACAGAACATGCTCACAAGGAAAAATGTGGCAAATGACAAAGTTTTGGGAGGTGATCATACTGTTCTTCCATTTCTGTTTATTTACGCTGGTATTATATTCTCATATGTAGTCCCACATATGCCCACATAATGATCGGTTGATGCTCAGAAAGCACAAATTCAGCATTCTGCATTGAAGGGAACGACTTTCTCTCTTTGCTTCTAAATCTGAGGATACTCCCTGGGCTTTGCTTCAGCAAAACTGGCCATGCTGTTGCTAGCTAAGAAACCCAAACCTATAGCAATTATCAGACACTAACAGTCAAATCAGTCTTCAGCTTACTGTGTAAAAACCAGTATGTTCAAAACTTTGCAAATCTTAGTTGAATACCAAGAGGAGACATAGCCATGGAGCTTAGTTCAGGAGTTTTATACAGTTAGAAGCGGTTATCGGGGATGTGATGTGACATGATGTGACAGAACAGAGATTTCACACACAATTTAGTTTTCATATTCTAGAGAAGCAATGGGAACAGGCCGCTCTTTGGCCCCGTTTGCGCCTCCTGAGGGTATTTGGCCTGATTTTGGTTCCCCACCATTTTGACATCCATGTGTCCTCTTAGATTTGGTCTTGCATGTAAGAGGTGAAAAGGCCTTGTGGGGGATAAAGTCTGATGCAATTAACATTTTAAAGTAAGAATGTAAGAATGGTACAACTCTGTCCTCAGACCTGGCTTTTTTGGGAGGGAAGAAACATAAACAAGCTCATCACTGGGCCTGTGCTTTGTGATTTTCCAGGTGTCCCTCACTAGTCAAAGTTGCTTCTAACAAACTATACCTCTGGATAGTAGCACTGTTAAGTTGCTATTTCTTTGACTTTCCTTTTCATGGTGTGATTTCAGCTACCACAGCTGGGACTGTAACCTTAGAAGATAAGGCTCTGAATCATAGAATCATAGAATTGTTATGGTTGGAAGAGACCTCAAAGATCATCAAGTCCAACCGTATACCTGATGCCACCCTGTCCACTAAACCATGTCTTGAAGTGCCACATCTAAACGTTTTTTGAACCCCTCCAGGGACGATGACTCCACCACCTCCCTGGGGAGCCTGTTCCAATGCCTAACAACTCTAACAGTGAAGAAGTTCTTTCTAATGTCGAGCCTGAACCTCCCCTGGCGCAACTTGAGACCATTTCCTCTTGTTATCCTATCGCTAGTTACCGGGGAGAAGAGCCCAATCCCCACCTCACTACAACCTCCTTTCAGGTAGTTGTAGAGGGCGATCAGGTCTCCCCTCAGCCTCCTCTTCTCCAGACTAAACAACCCCAGCTCCCTCAGCCGCTCCTCATAAGGCTTTTATGAATGCAACCTTTTGAAGCAAAGGGAAAACAAATCCATACCAGAGTATTCTCCTGGGGAGTGTCATAGATTACGTTAATGACCTGTGACAGTTGCATGCAACATCAGAATAATTCTGATTTTTATGCCCTCCTCAGTGAAAATATAGGGTTTAGGGATATCTCAGCTGAAACCCACAAATCCCACTGTGAGAGAGCCTTGCTTTTCCTACATACAGCTGGGATCACATTTCTCATTAATCACCTGCAGCTTTTTTAAAATCAAATATTTAATGGCTTGTATTTGGTTAAACAGCACTTTTATCACCTCCAGTGTTCTAGCTAATACCCATTTGTCCTTCTATGAAATCTGCAACTGCCTGGGAAACTTATTCTAAAATGCTGCCATGGAAACCACTCAGGAATCTGAATTCATGCCATCTGGTGTATGATATTATGCCATTATATTCCTTGATTAGAGGGACAGAATTAGTTTATAGAAGGACACGACTTAAAATGTCTTTACTGTGTTTCTGTCTTCAATAATCATCTGTGAAAAAAGTTAAAACATTAATTTTGCTGTCATTTCAGTGTTTTTTAGGTTGTGTTGAAATACATGCTTATGCATTACATATTATAGATATAAAACTGTGTTACATTTTGATGAAATTAATCTAGTATTGAAAAAAAAACAACCTAAGCACTTTGCACAAGAAGAGGTATGTGCACTTTCCTGTGAAACAGAATTCAGTTTCCCACATCTGTTTCTCAACGCCCAAGTTCCCTGTCAGTCCAACACGAAAGATCCGTAGTATAATCTTGAAAATACTGAAACAAACTGATGAACATTTAAAAAACACTCCATTTTTTTTGTAGCAAAAAATACTTTAATTGCTTGATCTGAGTTAATGAAGTTTTACGTCAGCTAGCCAAAGCTGTTTTACTAGAGGTCTGACCAAATGTCTGTAACAATTACATCTGCAGTGTGTGTCCAGATCTGTGAATTTGGCAGATGTTTTAAATTACCACCCAACACAGTTGTTGATGAGTTGTTTGTATCAGAAATCTGTGGAATGAACTAGAAAAACTGAATGGTGTCAAAAGTAATCAACTGCAGGTCCAGCAGTTTTGTTAATCATCCTGTTAACATGCTGGAGCTTAATTGTTTCAAACTAACTTTGGATTTGTTTGCACAGCTTATAACAGCAAACAATCTCTAGAAATCTGTAATAGTCACCTCATCAGAAATACTCCAAATGGCAGCAGCTCAGAAGAGCTTAATTAAGGACCTGTTTATCTTCCCCAGCAGTAACTAAATGGCCAGTTAGAAAGACAAAAGCCTCTAGCTGAAACAGAATGCTGGCAGTAGCTAAAACCAGTGGGGCTGCTCTGGAAAGACTTGGCAAAGCCAGGAAAAAACAGTACACTGAGAAAAGGCCCTGCAAGGAAGGAAGGAAGGAAACGACTTAGAGAAACAATGAGAAACAGAAAAGAACTGCTGTCTGTGGCTAAATGTGAGATTTCTGGGCTTGAACCCCAGGGACACGAAGGCCTGGAATCCTTCCTGTTCAGCAAAGAACAGATGATGGTGGAGGAGAGCTCACAGAGTTAGGGTAGCCAAGGATAATTAGCCAAACTCTAGACTTTCTGTTACACATTTTGGCTTTGTGCTGTTCTCATGCAACAAGTCTCTGAGCTAAACTGGAAGACAAATTGCAGACAGTAGAAATAAAATTACATTAGACTTGGTACAGATGGGCACTGATGAAAACCTTCAATACTAGGAGTGGGTAGAATGATAAACATGAGTGATGCACTATGGTTCACATTCTCTTGCTATGATACCAATGAATTTGAAAATGAGAACAATCATCAGAAGTTGTCACTCATTAGATCTCAGCTGCAGTGATGCTAAAGTTATCTCAGATTTCTCTGTATATTTATTGTAATAGCTACTGTAAGTACCGAAGCAAATGTTCACTGGAACCTCTTTGAAGGACCACTGCACCGTTGCTCAGAAACAAAGCAGATCTGTTTAGGTATACACCTACCAGATCAATCAAGTTAGAATTTCTATGTACATCATTTGGGTCTTCTTTCACTCGGTCTCTGAACTGGCTCTTGCCAGGTATTCCAGCCCTAGCTGTTTCCTTCTGATAACTTAAAACCAAAAGGAAAAATTCTGAAGAACTGTAAATCCCCCCAGAAAAATGTAACGGCAGCCAAAGAACAAGGTATTCTAGGATCATAACATGTAACTCACTAAAAACGAAGTAGGCCCATGAAGAATGGGGAGAAGTGTGAAAGCAGCTGGTTAGTGACTGTTACAGGGTCCACATGCTTTAAGGAAATCCATCCTAGTTTAACTGTACTATTAAACTACTTGTTGAGGAAGAAACCCAGGCAGCTGTTACATTATAACAACTGAGGTACCAGTAACTGCCCCTACTGCAAAGATCCTTTCTCTGTGGGAAGCACTGACTTCTTGCAGCCTCATGGTTCCAGCTACATTGATGTCTTAAAACATAAAACTACTCTGGGAACAATAATTTAAGCAGTTGTGCACGGGCAGCTGTACACTCCAGTCTTGGTTTTATAACAAGAAAAACATTTTCTTTCAGCCACATGTAAGTAGAAACCACATCCATTAACTGAGTATCTCTGGATGTCTCAGGAGTAGAGGAGAGCACTAAAAAGTGACCTGTAACAGGAAATCAGTCGCTGGCCATGATGTTCATGTCACTAATGAAAAATCAGGACTGTCAGAGGCTTAATCATACCTTGTAGGTACCTAATGCAGCTGGTTTGTGTGTCGGGGCAAACCAGGCAGTCATTAAGAAATAACAGTAGTTCCTCTCACATTATTTTTCGTAACACTAGCCCCAGCTCTTCGGTGTAGATGGGACCCCGCACTAATTTGGGGTGCAAAGCTAAGATTCAGGAGAAATTAATTGTTTTGTAATTTTGCATCTGTTTATGTCTTTGGACTAAAATGGCCTCTTACATTTCGGCCAAATAACATGTTATAGATGTTGTTTTGATGTGCCAAAAGAAAAAAAAAAAAGTTGTTGAGATGAGGTTTTTATAGTTTTAGGGGGGGGGGGGGGGGAAGTCACATACAAAAATCTCCACACTTTAACAAATTTCTCCATGCTTTGAAAAAATCTTAGCCACAGCTTTCTAGGATCAGCAAATCCTATAGCATTTAGTTCAGAAGAATGTAGATGGAAGTAATTTTTATGTTACCAAGCAGGGGTCACTATCCAGCCATAACTGAGACACATAGGAACAAGTTACTTGAGTTTCCAAAAAGTCAAGCTCATAGAAGAGTTTTGACAGGACACATTAGTATCCAGCAAACACATTACTTTCTTTTGACAGCTCACCTGTCCTGCAAGAAGTACTTGAATCAAGTCCAGAGTACAAACAGATTTTGATTAGAAATCTTTACAAAATTGTTCATTTTGCAGGGATTATATTCGTGCTGTCTTTAGCTAAATCTATACTGGTATTTACTAATTATTAACAATACAGACTTTGGTAAATGAAAAATATTTATAATATAAAAATGCCCAAGAGTAACCTTTCCCCAGTGTAACTTTTTTGTTTGTTTGTTTGTCTTGGTTGTTTGGGTTTTTTTGAAAGAAATTGTTTTACAAAGCTGCAACTCTTTGGGAAAATTTTTCGGTAGCTTAAATACTGCCATTCCTTCTAGGCATCAACTTCCCTCTCTCTGTATGTGATCCTCAACATGTAGATGTGATTTTGAATGTTATGTTTCTTCTACTAGAAAATGGCAAAGCTGCTCAGGACTCCTGATGCAGCTTCCTTTGAAGTCAGAGTGACATCTTTCTTTTACCATTTAGTGAGAGATGGATCCAGCTCATCATGAAAAAAAGTTGCTCTTTCTGCTTGTCTTCCGTAGCTGGCAGGAGAAGATATCTGGGGTGTCTTTGCTGACGGATTTCAGCTTTAAAGGTGACTTTTGGAGGACTATCTTTAATCTTAGTCATCACCAAGAGACCCTAATAACTGTCTAAATTTTGAAAGGTGACACTTTCTTTGTAATCCTGTATAGGACAGAGGAAAATTTACACCTCCAGTAAAAAGGTATTTTTTTAAAAATACAGAAATTTCAGAAAAGCTAGTGGTAGGTAGTCTAGTGGTATATTCCTTTTGACAGTGGCTGATGTTTTAAACAAATATATAACCATGCCATAATGTAATCTGCAGTAGGTAAATATGTTATATATTGTGAGTTTGAGGGAGAGAGAGGGTATACACCATATGTTCAGCTGGAGGGAGCGGTAAGAAAAGAAATGGAAGCTGAATGTGCAGAAGAAGGCACGCTTGTATTTAATCCATTAGAGAAATTGCTCAAGAGCACTCCCATGATGTGAAAATACATCATACTGTCTGTAGCCTCACTACACTGAAACTGCATTGAAGCTGAACATCTAAAATATCAAAAAGTTCGCTCGGTAGGGCATTCTAATCAAATCCAGTAGGTTCTTTCAGTGAAAGTATCTTTGAGTTCTTATCTCATCATTTTTAGACAGACTATGCCTGCTTATAATAAAATCTGCAAGTGTTTTTGCACACCTGAAGTCTTTGTTCAGGAACCTAAAAATAGTACTTGATATGAGAGCGAGAGACAAAAAATTTCTCTGAGGCTCTGAAGAGTCTCTAAGCATAGTTATGAATCCAATTTTTACTCATATTCACTCTTTTCTAACACTTCATGACTACCAAAGAGCTGTGCTTTGTTTCCAAGCCAACATAATTTTTATAACCAAAAGAGCTCTATAAGGTCTCTGCTTTTGTTTTTGCAGAATTCAGCTTTCATTGAAGAGCTATAATCTAAAATCTCCTCACCTGAGATGTATCTTTTGCAAATATGAACACAACTTTTGAAATGCTAACAATTTTATCCTGAAATTTTAGACTATCCCCAACATAATAGCTGAGGTGCCCACACTTAAAACATGATCAGTCTGGTTAAGTTCAATTAACTCTGAACCCTCAAAGGCTTAAGTGATCCATCAGACAGTCATTTTCACTAATCCTCACAGTTTTCAGCACCATCAAGCAGCTAAGGCCCTCTGTCTTAAGCAAGGAAGACTGAAGAAATGGCGCCTTTAAATTTGAAAGCACAGAGAGAGAATCTGTGCTGTTAGTCTTGAACCTGTCAGTAAGTTTGTATGGCTGTTACAGTAGCCCACTGGGATCTTACTCCTACTTGAACTTTCCAATTACTGTTGCAACACAGCTACATCAGCATCAGTACCTCACAGGCTTACTTTGCCATGTTTGCTGCACTTTTGGCTATATCATGGGATGCTGCTCCAAGAGACTAAAGACACTGTAAGCCTCTCTGAAGGATTGCTCAG